ACCCTGTCATTTCCCCCACGAGTTTTTCCCTTGATGCATTTTAGGCGCGCTTTTTATAACACTCACTTCCCGGTTTTAAGCTCATTGTTAAATGGGTGGATTTTGTGCACTTTGCTCATGATTTGATGGATGGATGGATGAAACCCATCACTATGCTCAAGAGTATTCCAAACCAAAGTGAATTTCACGTATGTACACATGCCACCCACACACACAAATCTCTGGAATGGAATGTGCATTCTCTCTCCCTGGAGGGACACACCCTGCTTATTTATTTCCGGAGGGAATTTAGGTTTAAGGTTGGCAAGAGATGAATTGGTTGATCATTTGGATATCCACCCCGGAACTATTAATGTTTAAGAAAAAAAAACTTGAAGCCTGTGTTGACGTTACTTTGTGTTTTGTAAATGCTCCTGACTTTTACTCCACATTGAAATAGCTTCTCTTAAAAAATATCTACAAGCTGGCTTGATCAATCGTGCCACAGGAAGGTTAACGTCCCACTTGCACAGCCAAAGAGATGCACCTCGGTTTAACGTGTCATCTAAAAGATGGCACCTCCGACAATGCAGTGCTCTTTCCCCAACACTGGAATTGCAGCCAACATGTTGTTGTACAATCTAACAACGACAGGGAACCACAAGAGCTCTTTAAGGGCAAAGTTATAATAGCAATAAACTCTTTAGATTTGAGATAACTCCTTATAAAATCTAGACATGTCTCCAAGACCTTCATAGGATTTACTGCCGACTGGAAAACCACTGCATATTTGTAAGTGAAGTATCTTGCGTGTTTCATGGGGGCAGTTTCCAATATCTTATAATCTGATCTTTTCATCTAATGAAGTAGACTAATGCAATAGGAAATTGACTGCCATATTGTTTTAAAGATGGGAGGATAGAGGCACTGAGGTTCCAGTGGATGGTACAGTACTTTCTGTTCTTTTCAACTACTGAGGTCATAGCATGATCACCCTCAGCACGATTTATTTCATTTACAACTGAACAGGAATTATGAGGTCAGAACCTTCCACCTCGTCAGGATATAAATTGGAGATGTCTCTTTGTTTCAAATAAAAAATATAGATCTCCCACATTTTGTCTCAGAGGGTGGAAGGATTCAGATGTGTATCAAAGAATAGTCCTTAGATTCAGAGATCCATGGGGTTGACTGTAAAGTGCAGTGACTGTGTTTTGTGGGTGAATGCGGCAGCTGATTTGCACAAGGCAATATCCCACAAGCAGCCACAAAGTGAATGATTGTTTTTATCTGGGGGATTGTCAGCCAGGACACCAGGAGAGATATACTCCCTTCTCTTTTCATGAGAATACTCCACTGAAAACCATTGCCACTGCTTTAATCTTCTCCTTCCTGTGAGTTGACTGGGTCAGTATAGTTGCAAACAACAAACTGGTTGCTAGTGGTCGTAACAAAATCTATCCACGTTTTGTACCAAGAATCATGTTCTGTCCTATGTGTGGGCAGTTTGGGAAAGGATTCTAAATGCTCTCTCTCTTTCTCTGTCTCTACATGAAGAAGGTTCATGTATTATAAGGGCCAAACCCACGCACAGCTACAGGATGGTTGCATTTCATCAGACATTCCTTCCCACCTCAAAGAGTGACAGACTCTTCATTGATTAAGCGCACGTTCGTTCACTGCTTCATGGTGCAACCTGTGTCTTTGCAAGGCCCAGTTTGATTGAACTCTTGTGTAAGACTGGGAGACACTAGTTTGTGTTGATCCTTGTGATACGTGCCACTGCTTTTCGCGGGCTAAACAAAGAAAGATGAGGTTTCAGATAAACTGCCTAGGCGGAAAATGGGTTGCAATTTCTGGATATCAGGAGTGGCTTTCCATTCAATCGTACAGTAAAGGTAATAGAGTGTGAAATGTTTCCAGTAGCAATGCCATTGTCTCTGATTTACTCTCAATGGATTCTATTCATAATCATCAGCCGATATCAATAGCGCTGTCAGATTTTCAAAACAAAATATCTGCCTAGTAAAGTGGTTATGAAGTAATGTGAAGTCATGCTCTATATTAAACACGTAGGCAACATAAGTGTACAAAATATCAATTTCTTAGAATTCGATAACTAATCGTTCTGAATTAATTGTCTATTCATTCTCTTACAAAAGGGAACTGAATGTTAAAAGAAATGAAAGTCTGTCACACTTTAGTGCACTGTGTTTGTTTTAATTACATACTGCGGCACCGATTGAATTCAAAGACATTTACAATAATCCCACACTCGTCCTTGCGTTTGATGCAGCGTCTGCCTTGTTAGAATATCTCAAGTGATTCACAAGCAATCAATCATTGTCAAGTGTAGTGACTTTATTGTTAGGCATGCCCGGCAGCCCATTTGCACAGAGTTATAATTCACAAATAGTCATGAAGTGAATGAACAATTTATTTGAAGGATTGTTGGCCAGGACACCAGGAGAAACTCCCTTCTCTTTTTAAACAGTCATGGGATCTTTAATGTAGATCTTTGCTTCGGGGTGTAATGCAATTAACAGACTTTGGGGATGCTTTTGAATTAAAAATTGCTTAAAATTATAACTTTGAACAACAAGACTTGGCGATCCTGAAAGATGCTGCTCAACGGCAAGTCCCAGACTTGACAAAATGAGTTTATCTTTGAAGCTGCAACATAAATGGGCTTATGGGAAATGATCAAATTAAATGTCACCTCCCATAACAGTAAACCAGATCAATGATCTGATGGATTATATCAAGGTGGAAGAGCGGAAGTCATCATTTTAAACTAGATTAGATGGCTATTAGGTGTACGAAGAGGCATTTGACTCATTCAATTTGTTAGATGAGTTTTGTCGGTTTTCTGCTGGAGTCATGAAGCAGATGCATTCAATCTGAGTGAGTGGAGGCTCTGATGTGGGCTCAAACTAACCCCCCACCCCACCCATTAATACCACTGTCAGTATTGTCTGTCTATTACGGTATCAAGGATTTTTTTTTAAAGGAATCCAATATCCCAACCTCAACCACTCTGTCTGGATACCCCAATCCAGCCATAAAAGTAAAATTCATCCAACTCCTAAACGGAAAATACTGCAGATGAAGGAAATCTGAAACAAAAAGAGAAGTGGCTGGGAAGACTCAGCAGGTCAGGCAGCATCTATGGAGAGAGGAAAGTGAGTCAACATTTCGGGTCCACGACCCTTCGTCCACGATCCTGTTCTGACAAAGGGTCGTGGACCCTAAAGGTTGACTTAAGAAACAATTGTCTGAAGAAACAATTCCTTATCTCTGTCCTGAAATTGACTGTAGCTGAGCCCTGTTGTTCTGCTGCCTTGGCATCGAAACCCACAATATTTGGTCAATTTACATACAGTATAGAGTAGCCATTAATCAACCCCTTCTTAAACCATTTCAATAATTTATCAGTTTATCGCCTTTCTAAACCACATCTCAACGATGGGTTGGAGCCAAGCAAATAATTCTACTCTTGATGGTCAATTTAAATGCGTCCCGCAAAATAACAACTGAATTTATTGACTGTAATTATCGCATTTTATAGGCATGCTTTTTTTTCTTTATGAAGCCTTACTACTGAGCTCCAGTCAAATGCTCAGCTCTAAGCTTGCATTTCCTATTCTGCCCTTTTCTCCTCCTTCCACCCTACAACCTTCACTGGGCAACGAAGACCTAACTGGATATGGTTGCTTAAGAATAGTAAGCTTCAAGTCCGTGTTCAGCTTGCCGGTCTCAGACTGGGTTTGTGTGGAGGGTCGGGGAGGGTTCCTATGCTGGTTATGTGCGGGTGTGTCAGCCGGGTGGGGAGAAGTCAGGCTGTGCTGTGACGCCCTCAACAATCGAGTGGCTTGCCGGCGGTTATTGGCAAACGCTCACACACAAACAATGGCCGGTTGGGTGGAACCATATTCCAGCGCAGTGCAGCCACACCCCAACAAGAGGCGAGGCGGAGAGTCGCATGGAAAGCCGAAGAAATAAGTGAATGCATTTACATTCTTCAAAGAATAGTAACCGATTCTCTGGAAACACCAAATAGCAAGCTCACACTCAGATTATTTGCAGGGACGAGTCACATTATTATTGCCATTTGAAGCACTTTGAACAAGTTTTATTCAATAAGGTCCGAGGGGAGGTGTGTATGTGTGTATGTGTGTGTGTGTGTGGCGGAGGTGGGGAGGGGGGCAGGGGTGTGTCTGTTCGTATTGGTGCACAATGAAGATGACAGCACTAAACAGACTATAGACTGCCATTACGTCATGGTAGGTTGATATGCAGAGCAGTAACAGCTAATGGATTGTGTGACATTACACCCCCTGATTGCCTCCTGTTAAATTATAATTGTGGGTAATCGAACATTTGGTGATATCACTGTCGAAGAATGCATTAGACATGCTTATGCTGTTTTGCTGCCACCCACAAAAATGAATTAATTTCCCCGTCTTCTGACTGGTAAATTATCATAGCACCTTGTCCCTGTGCACGTCTTGCAAATGATTTGTGGAGTGAACGAATGAATTCATTAATTATGTGAAAAGGTATATTCTGAGTGAGCTGGTGTGGGCATTTCTGATCTTTATCTGTTTGCTATTAGTTGAATTCAATTATTCCATAATACATATAACTTTTCAGAACTGCGGTAAAATGAGACTGGGAGGGTATAGAGACTGGGAGGTGCATCTCCAGGAAAGAGTGGGTTGGATTTTTCAAAATTGTCGGATATTATTTTACTTTTTTAAAGTAACATTAGCCCAGATGAAATAGGCATTGTATTTAGACGTTTGCGTAACAACTGACATAATGTTCCACTCTCAGTTTAAAGTAACGCTTTTAAAATTAAGAAATTGCCCAATTTTTTATAATATTAACTTTATAAATATAATTTACAAAGAATCCAAATGGACTCCTAAAAGTGTATTGGAATTGAATGCTATCTGAATTTCTCTTTTTCCCTCACTCTCTCTTCGTCTCTCATATGTAAACACACACTCAATACAAACCTGATGATATAGTGCCATATTTATTGGTTGGAAAATAAACATTCATGTACATTTTATTTGGCGAAGCACAGTGAGACTCTTGAATACCCTCTTCTCTAGATTGTTTTACCTGAAAAGGAAAATGAAGAGTTTGAATGATTGCTATCTGCTACTCACAAGGCATGGCATGTGTGGTCAGCCGGGTGTCTGACACATGCGGAAACCATCTCTGTGCTTAAGAATATCCAAACCAAATTGAAAATTCCATGCATCCCATCTACACATGGAGATAGATTCCAGAAATAGATGGCGTGTGTGAATGTTCTGATATATATATTGTTGTATTCATTTGTTCAAAAATCCACTTTTTACAGTTGACTATCTGACCCTAAAAAAATCTTGAGCTTAGTGCAAACAGAGATGGCTTTGCGTTTGTTCGTGGCAAGTAACAACAACAACTTCCATTTATATAGCGCCCTTCACACCGAGTAGCGTCCCAGAGTGTTTAAACATTCACGCTCTCACACTCACGTATGTGGGTTCAAACCCCATGTCAGTAGTGGAACTCAAAGAACAAGCACAACATCACAAGATTGTTTGGATGATGAAGGCACCTTCGGCCCGTCCGATCTCAACCTTCCAGAACACACGCCCTACCTTTCCCCCATCACAGAATCAAGCTGCTTGTTGAATGAGTCCCAGTTTCCTGGCCATTACCACCCTTCCTGGCAACCTGACAATTAAAGCATCAAGCTGATTTGTTCGGTTCTTTTTGCCAACAACACCCCTGATAAATGATCCATTACCCGTACCAGGAAAGAGCCTTCAGGATTTGTGCAGAGTCATTACATTCGCAATGGCCCCTTGAGATGGATCTAGAATCTAGACCGACTATCCACTTGGCTTTCCATTTCCAAGTTGCAATGATGGACTCAGTGAATCCAAAATGCTGGTACTTTGAATGTGTGTTTCTTCTGATCTCTGCGTAAGCCTCTATTTTGTAATGTTACATTCAAATAGCAGCAGTGACTACAGTGATATCAGCAACATCATGCGCTGCAATGGGCAGGAACAAGGTGGATGTTGAGCTGTAAAGCAGTTGACCTTAATGAGACAGGACTGTTGGGTCTTCCAGTGCATGTTTTACTGATGCTCTCCTATCACAGACAATCATTCGCTGGGTAGGCTCAGAGCTTCCATTATGGATCACTGACAACTCTTGCCTCATGCAATGTAGCCTTATCCAATTTCACTTTCCCTCTGTGTGTTCCATCTGCCAACACACATCAGAAGACAAGTGCAAAAAAAGAGCACATGCATTTAACCACAAGCACTCTGGAGGAAGTAGCCAAAAAACATGTATGTCTTTTTACGGAAATGATTTGATGTAAGAGGAACATTAATGACTTAAGTAGTGTGCCATAATAATAAGTGCCGTTAGGATCTTGAGCACATAGTCTGACATTGCGGAGTGCTGGGAGTCAGTTTCATTGCAGGAGATGCCGTACTTCAAGTGAGATGTTAAACCAAGGTCCCGTCTGCTCATTCAGGTGGACATTAAAAATCCCATGGTGCTATTTACAAACAGAAGGGAGTTTCTGTTTGCCCTGTCCTGGCCAACAATCCCCCAGATAAAATTGGTCATTCTCTTCATGGCATTGCTGTGCACAAATTACAAAACACTTACATTCACTTACAAAACACCCAGTCACTACACTTCGCAGTAAACAGACGATCACTTCACTCAAAGGAAACAGTAACCCAAACCCTCTGGTTCTAAACAGTTCATTTTCAGTAAGTAGGATCAATGGTGATTCATTATCCACAGGCATCAGACTGCTACTTAATCCTCTGTGTCTCGATTGCCTTAACTGATGAATTAAAACACGGCTTCTTTAGTTCTAATTAATTTAATTATGAAAGTTCATGTCCCACTTTTAAATCAAGTGCCAGGATTCAAAATTATTCTTCGAAGATTCAATCAAATGCAGCGCTTAAAAGAATCCAGAATTGCATCCTTAGTGTAGGATGATAGATCAACTGCTCATAATAGATTCACACAACTCTTAAGAGCAAGTTTGAGTGTAAGGATTAAGGCCCGTATTCAATTTACTGCATACGATGAGTTTTAATGCGGCAGTCTCAGTCGGAGGGAACCTATGTCTGACTTATTAAAATGAGGTCTGCACCTTGCTGATTGCCTCAATTGATGCTTCAGCCAAGATCCGTGTTTTAATTCATCACATCTATTAAAGCATCGCTTAGTAAATGCAGAGGTTGGCTAATTGGCATTGACGCCGCATTCAAAACAATAAATCAAATGAACAAAAAAAAACGGAGCATCATCTCGAGAAGCAATTTTCACCCTAATTGATAAGAAAGTAATTCTCCCACTTCTTGAGCAGCACTTTGTATTCTCTGTCCTTCTGGTCGTTGGAATAATTCGCAATGTCGAATTAACATCAGCAATGCTGATCTGCTCCTCACAAAAGACTATGGATCACTACATTTTTTGCACTGTAACATTCCTCATTGTAAGGGATTGATATGTGAGCTTGTTAACTGACAAGGTTTTACTTAATGTTATCTTTTTTTAAAAATTGCAAGGCTTGCCAAGATTAAAAAAAAAGGAGTTGGTGGAGAAAAAAGATAAATTAGCCAGTCGTAGTCTAACCAGGAGAGTTTAAGAGGGAGGAAATTTTTCACTCAGAGGGTGGTGAGAATGTGGAATTCGCTGCCGGTAGCTGTGGTCGAAGCAATGAGCATCAATATATTTAAGAGGAAACGTGACTTCTACCCAAGGGAGGAGGCAATAGAGGATTATAGTGAGGGGAATAGGAGAGGTGGGGTGTCTGTGTGGAGTATACACAGATTAGTTGGGCCAAATGGCCTGTTTCCATACGGTATTGCTCTACGTAACTCTATGGACCAAAAGGAGAGAGAGAGAGAGAGAGAGAGAGATTAATGAGATGTATTTTTCTTACAACGATGGTTATTAGGTCATGGAATGACTTACCAAAAATATTGTCTGAAACAGAACCCAACATAGTTTTAAAAGTGGAATTACACAATTATTTCAAAGAAAATATATCAAACGGCGCAAGTCTAAGTGGAGAGCTCTTTCAGAGAGCCAGCACAGTCACAATGGGCCAAATGGCCTCCTTCTGTGCTGCGCAGTGCTACGACCGTACAATCGAATCTGCCAAAAATGGGACATATAATGTAAAATGAAATTTAATACACTTCATTTTTGTTTGAATATTTCCTGAAGTACATATATATGGAGAGGCCCTGGTCTATTCCGAACACTGACATATTCATTTACTTTTCCTCGAAGTAAACTATAATATTTGATAATGTCCTGATGTAAATAAGCAGCTGGTGAGTCCTGTAGCTCAGTGGTGAGAGCACTCGCCTCACGAGCGAGTGACCTGGGTTCGATTCCCGGCAGGGCGAAACTTTGGGCAAGTTTCCTGACTCCACCACACGCCTGATAATAATGCCTCAAGAAAAAAAACATTAATAAAATTGGCCACTTCAATCCTGTCTGTGGGACACTGCTGTGCGCTGCTGCGTTTTGCCCACAAATATATAGTCAATTCCCTTTACAGTATATTCTATGAAACTCTTTGAGACGTCTAGAAGACATGAAAAGCACTGTATCAAATGCAAGGATTATTATTATAAGTAAAAAAAAATCTTTTATCATTTTAATTTTTTGTTTCTGGGGCTTGGTGTCCTAGCGGCAGTAAAGAACATTGTATCTGATCTATAAGGTCTGATAATTATATATTTTTTAACATTAAATTACTGAAGTAACGAAGAAGGAGACTGAATATAAGTTTCCAATTGGCACTGTCTCTTGGCACGCAACTGTCAACATGGAAAAAGCCTTTAGATGACTCTTATTGGAGAGAACATATCTGTGCAAATGTCATCCAGGAAAATATAATGCTGTCTGATATTGATCCAGTTCACTTTTTTTGAGATTGATTGAGTTATATGTCCAGCAAATGCTCCAGAATGCCTTAGACTTGCAATCAGTGCTTCGAGCGGGAACATATATTCCCATTGCTCGTTAGCTGTTTTACCTGCCAATCTTTCTTTCCAGTCCACCTTGCCTAGGTCCCTTTCTAACTCACTGAAATTAGCCTTTTCCAGTTGAGTATCTTCACCTTTGATTGTTCCTTGTCCCTTGACATAAGTACTCTAAACCTAATGATGTTGTGATCACTGTTGCCCAGATGCTCTCCTACTGAAACCTGCTCCACTTGCCCCACTTCATTCCCCAGAACTAGATCCAGCACTGCTTCCTTCCTGGAAACATACCGATGCAGAAAGGAATCCTTCCCCCTCTTTGCCCTTTACACTGTTATTTTGCCAGTCTATGTTAGGATAATTGAAGTCCCGCATTATCACAACTCTATAGGTTTTGCATCTTTCTGAAATCTGCTACAGATTTGCTCGTCTCTCTCCTCCCCACTATTTGGAGGTCTGTAGTACACACCTAACAGAGTAACAGCTCATTTTCTGCTCCTTAACTCTAACCAAATAGATTCTGTTTTTGGACCCTCCAGCACAGCGACCCTTTCCAGGGCCGTAATCATGTCTTTAATCAATATTCCCACCCCCGCCCCTCTCCTATTTTTCCTCCCTATCCCTCCTGAATACATTGTAGCCAGGAATATTCAGCTCCCATTCCTGCCCTTGTTTGAGCCAAGTCTCCGGTATTGCCACTACATCATAGCCTTATGTGGCAACTTGAGCCGCAAGTTCACCAAGCTTATTTATCACACTCCATGTATTTACGCACATGCAGTCCAAGCCCGACTGAGTCAGCTCTGCATTTCTCCCTCGTCCAATCCCTCCTTTTTCTGGAATGCTCCTTATTACATTGCTATTCGTCTCTCCCAGCCCTCTATGTAACTTGTTTCTCCTCTCTGATGCTACATCCTGATTCCCTTCGCCTCCCTCAAAATTAGTTTAAACCCTTCCCAATAGCACTAGTAACACAGCACTGCGAGGACATTGGTCCCAGCCCTGTTCAGCTGTAACCCATCCACCTTCTAACCTGTTCCTGTTCAGCTCAATGTTGGACTATGAATAAATACAGGGATTTAACAAGTGGCAGAGTGGGCAAGTAAGTTGTCCTGAAATTGTGTGCAACATTTTCCCCCTACACAGGGTTATCTTCACGGGGCAAATTAAGTCTCTAATAGATTTCCACCAAAACAAAGTTTGCCAGAATTGAGGCTCAGCTCGCGCCAGTCTAAACCCTGCACTCTGCTTTGTGGGTGGAAATTGGTTTCTGTGCAGTGTCACATTCAGCCAAATATTGATAAGTAGATCAAATTTGCTATTGAGTCATCAATGTGATTTGCTTTTGACTCATCCTTCACTGACTTCACCCTCCTGAGACGTGCCAAATGTGGACTCAATGACTCACATCGGATCTAAAGGAAAACGCACTGTAGACACAAAGTGATTCACCAAAATTGAACCTTAGATTTACGATGCACCTTCAAACTTTTTTTTCCCCCCCTGCATCAAAGATATTTATTGGGATAAACGATTCATGCCTTTCATCCATGTCCACATGCTGAAATCTCGTGCTCTGATTTCTCTGTCAGCGCAATTCTGTTTATGAAGATCTGACCATCAATGCTACATACGTAAACATTTAAAATACATAAAGAATAAATTAATCTGATGATGGTGTCTTTCATGTCAGGACAATGTCTTAAAGGGCTACAGAGGATTGACTGTAGAGTGGCTGTATAACCGTAAGTAAAGTGGGCACCTGATTTTGCCTATGACAACGTGACACAAACAGCCATGAAGTGAATGATCAATTTTATCTGGGGGACTGTTGGCCAGGATGTTGGGAGAAACTCCCTTCTCTTTTCAAACAATGTCATGGGATCTTTAAAGTCTACCTGAACAGGCAGATGAGGCCTTGTTTAAACATCTCATCCGAAGGATCGATTTGCTTTGCAACCCAGTACCTGTGCCCTCTTGTTCTGTCTGAAAGCATTACTCTGCATCTACTTCCTCAATCCCATTCAAAAAAAAGTTATGCTTCATAAGGTCCCCTCTGAGACATTTCTGCATGTTCACCAGAAATGAAAATGTGTGACCCAGATCAGTCACTTTGAGTTGTTTGTGCTCAGTTGACAGAAGGTGCTGAGAACCATAACTTCTCTCAATCCTTCATCTCAACTGATCCCAAGATCTACTTTCAGATCCAAAGAACGCTCTTTCTTTCTCATCTCTGGACATATTGATATATTAATCCATACAGAATGGAAACAGGACACTGTGTTTCTTTTGTGGTTCGTAACACAATGTTCCAATGAAGTCATGCTCCGAATAAGTCAAAAGAATACGCAATCAATCTCTTACGGCCCGTACTCCTGACTTTAGGAAGCACCATATTTCAAAGATAAATCTCTCACCAGAAGATATTTACCTACTGCTGCCGCTGCTGCTGATACTAAAATGAGTGTTTTACATAATTGTGAATACTTCCAGACCTAGTCTGGGTGTTGGGGGTGGGGGTGGTGGGGGGGAGCGGAGAGGTATTAAGGGCACCTTCAAATTCTTGAAATAACATATCTGTTGTGAGATTAGGGTTAGTAGGTAAAAATATTAGTAACAATATCATGGGGATAAGCGCAAACAAATAGGATCTGAAGTGCTTCTCAGGATTTCCTGTAAAATGTAGTTACTGTGTATTTTGGGGCAGGAAGTTTACACACCTGCAAACATCCAATTTATCGGTGTTTTGCGGGGGGGGGGGGGAGGTATTGGCCAGGACACCGGAAGAAACTCTATTCTTTTTTTCAGTAGAACCATGGGATCTTTAACTTGCACCTGAACAGGTAGACATGACATTGGTTTATTGTCTCAACTGAAGGACAGGACTATCAGCAATCCAGTACACCCCCAGCACTAGATTGGAATGACAGCCTAGATGGTGTGAGCCCCAAGTCCCGATTTATAGCTCGAACCCACAACTTCCAACTCAGAGGCGAGAGTGCTACCAACCGAGCCAGGCTGACATCTCTCCAGTCCTGGCAAGATGTCTTTTTTCAGCTGGATATCTATTTGCTTCATGACCGCCTCAATAACAAGTCGCAACGTAAAGCAGCAACTCCATGATTCTTACCTCTATGACGACAGCTCTTAGCCAAATCACTGTCTTTGTCATCAATGTTTCGCATGCAGGTACCTTAAGGGTGCTTCCATCAAATCTTTTTGCATTCAATAATTATCCTTAACACAAATGTAATTGGTATCTGAAATCTATACTCTAAATAAGAAATCGAAATATGCTTGCTTTATGGACGTCTAGCGTGTTTATTACCATATGAATACATACACTAATTCGTGTAGATAAGATACATTTTTTAAAAAAAATATGAGCCACTTAAGAAAACAAATATAGTGTAGGAAATTCCTGAAAATGGTTAATGCGATTGACGGGTTATCTTAGCGCATAGCACATTCCCTCCTTTCCCCTTCCCCTGTTATTCATTGCTGATAAGGTCACATGGTGATGGATTGACAAGTCTCCTTCACTAACAGAATAAGCATTGTGTTCAGTAACTTCAGACGCACCGCTGCTATTTATACAGTTCGTGTTCTACACAAATCTGAAATAAAGGTACTGCCAAAGTGCAAGCCGTTCTCACCCCCAGAGTATTGCGAGCTTCATTTAAGTCACTGCTTCTCTCGAAACATTCAATCTAGGGTTTCTTCAAGATGAAATTGTCGCCAGTATAATTTTACACAGTGGGCCTATGTTTATCATAGGATACCCTGAAATTTCTATGATTCATTTGCTTGTGACCTCCAATTGTTATCTGTGCCATTGACCCTAGTGGCTCTCAACTCAACTTAGGTTTGTAATGAGATTCTTTACAAATGTCATTATTTATTGTTTTGTTTTAAAGTTACACACAGTAAACACGACAGCGACTGGAATACCCTTCAGCCCATGGTGCTGGGCCAAGGATTGTTAATGAGGCAAGTTTTGTTTTCAAAGACTCTGTTGTAAAAAAAATTATAAGCTGCAATTTTTTTTCCCCCTATTCATTTCACCACAAGTCCATTATTTGGTCGTCACTCAATGTCATGCAAGAGTAGCGTCAAAGTGGAACTGCTTATATGAATGGATCGGTTTAGGTAAATGTTGAATCATGCGACAATTCGCAAGTATCGCGCTCACTGCCCTTTGTCGTGAACGGTAAAGGATGTCGTGGATTCTCAAAACCATAAAGGCTTCAAAGGATTAAAAACAAAGCATTCACTAGGAAGTCAACATCTCCAGGCAAAAAGCTTTTTCTATTAAAACCCTTACCCAGGCACTTACTATTTCCTTTGGAATGGAAAATATTCACTTTGTACTGCAATGCTTAGTTCATTTGTAAGGTATTTGCTCATTAAATACAATGAGATTGATCAGTGTGAAAGTATGAAAAAGACCATTTGGCTCAACTGGTCCTTGCTTGTGTTTATACTCCAATCCTCTCCTAACTCCCTTCGGTCCCCTTCTCTCTCGTGTACGCATCGAGTTTCCACTTTAAAAAAAAGTTACTTTCTCCTTCAACTACAACTTCCAGTAGTGAGTTCCACGTTAGCATCACTCTCTACATGAAGAAGTTCTTCCCAAACTCAACAACAACAATAACTTGCATGTATATAGCATCCTTCGTGCACGATAGTGTCTCGGATCCCATTCAGATCTCCTACCTTCTATTGATGCCCCTTTATTTCGGACTGACCAACAAGTGGGAAAAGCAGCCCCATCAACGTCCATCTTATTGAATCCTTTCATCATGTTAAACACCTCTATGAGGCCCAATTGTCTCATCTCCAGAAAGAGAGAGAGAGAGAGAGCGAGAGAGAAAACAAAAGCTCTAACCTTAACCTTATTAATACTGACCTTCACTGGAGAAGTAAAATGTGCTCCGGAAGGCAAAATTGCTCTCATTGATATCTTTTTGTAACTAGTAACAAGCAGGGAGCTCTCTGATGCTACTTACTTACCAGGCTTTCTTTGCCCTTGAAAACAGAACGCAGAGTATGATGATATTCCCCACCACTAAAAAGACAAAGATAATGGACATGATGGTTACGAGAACTTTCCAGTTGGACACTTTTGCCACCTGGCTACAGTCACAAGGGCCAAATTCTGCAAAGGAAAAAAAAAGAAAAACAGCAGGAAATTAGTTAATGTTTTGACTGATTTGAATGCAAACTTAATACATGACCGACACTCCTTCTAATTTCTGCAGTAAGTAACCGAATTGCATGTTAAGCTTTCAGATGGAGATGTCATCATCCAAATCGCCCTTCATGCAATTACAGAGGGGATAAGATGAGTGATTCTCTATATGTCTTTAGACAACAAGAACTTGCATTGATATATTTCCTTCACAAACAAGAACATCTCAATGTCTTCTGAGAAGCCGGGGGCCACTAGGGTCAGGAATGTAAATTTGCTCGGCTGCAATATGTACTGATACCTTCTATATTGTGTGATACACCACCAGCCCCCCCCCCCCACCCCCCATCCCCCCCCCCCACACACACACACAAAATAGCCACATGGTCTAAGGCCAGTATAGAAGGCAGATGTTGATGTCAATTCCCTATTGATTAGTCAAGATTCCTTACCAATTGGAGAATTCTGAACTGAACTGATCTATCTCAAAACTTGGGTTGAATAACTATCACAGATAAACTGAGTCTGTCGAACACCAAACAGAACTTGCTCTTGCTCCATATGATTCAATTTATGATCTGGTGACTAAGTCTGTGTTTACTGTGCTTCTCATCATTCCATTTAACAAGGTAACTACTCAGATGTGCTGTTCCTACATGACATTTCTAATTGTTGGGAAGGAACATAACCAGTCATTATGAAATGGCTCGATATACATCAACTCGCATGATACAACCAGACAAGTCTCAGTGCAGAGTCATCTTAATTATACAGCCAGGAGTTCATGCTGGGGCTGGGTGTCAATAAGGTTGAGGTGTGCTATCGTTCAGTAGCTTGGACCTACAAAAGGGAGTCACTAACACTGACTCTCTTACAGCTAAACTGAGCCTGTCCCAACGCTTAGCAAAACTTGCCCCCGTTCCATACGATACAGGACAAGGTTTGAATGGCATGACTTTAACGGAAATTGTCATGGGTCCAATTGCTTTGTTGTTGGGAAAGATCCTTATTTTACCCCTTGCCTTTTGGCTTATTTGCTGTTTGTTTATGTACAGCTGCTACAATACGTATGTTTAGAGGTGCAAGAGGATAGGACGGGACTTGGCTTGCAATGCCTCCCCACAGTTGAACGACCTGCCACTACTCACTGCCTGGGCTCACACAGGTAGAATGGCCACATACCGGAGGCTTGCTGGTGTCCTTGGGAACAGTGTCTCAGCACATTCAGGACAAGAGGAGAGGAGATTAGCTGGAAAAAAAAATATTGTGTATGTATAGTGATCTAGGTCATTTCTCTGTCTCCCTCTCTCCTTTTTCTCAGCAGCGGCCTCGTTCTGGGATAAAGGAAACGAGGTACAGAAGGAAACACTTGCCAATACAGCTACAAGGATAGGAGTTACGTCTAGAGCAGGGGAATGTTCAAGGGTAGAATATAGTGGAGCAATCACTGCATTGTTGGTTGCTCTTATGAGTCAATACTATTGGTACATAACAGTGATTTGGTTTCAAGGGTCTTGATATTCTCTCTTCATAGTAATTACTGCATCTGAATTTTTTTTGAATGACTTTTACCTGACAATCTGACAAAAGAGCAGATTAAGTGATTCCTTATTGCTGTTAAAGCCAGGTGTTTCCAAGACCATGCTAGGCTGAACAAAACACAACAAATCAAAGCAATTCAGAGATAAAAATGTTATCAGCACTGTCTGATTTATTCATTTTTCTTGTACTTCACTGATGAGAGGGATTGCAAGTCTACCTGTTTGGATGGTGTAAAGTCCTCCCGCCCTCTCCACTCCACCATCAATAGCTTAGCCTTCAGTTCCTACACCCCAAACCTCCGCAACCTCTCTCCCTCTAACCCTCTGTCTTGTCCCTTCTCTATCTGTCCTGCCTGAAAACCTGCCTCTTCACAGTCATCTATGGCTACCAACCTTTCCTCACCACCTCCCACCCACCGCCCGTTCCACGTCAAGAAAGCTGTATCAATGCAAGTTGTTGTTGTAAATTGGCATTGAAGGGAAACAATGGGGGAATTTCTTTGAAACTCTGTCCAGCAAAGATGTCAAAAAATTGCATGGAGAAAATTTATGAGGGGATCAATGATAGATAGGCACAAGCACAATCTTGCATCAGAAATCTAGTCGGGTGGCATTTTATGAATATTCCTTTAAGACGTGATTAATGGCAAAAGGCACAAACGTGACTCTCAAATTCCCCCCCCCACCGCCCCCCAAATATACAGTCAGTTCACTGTATGTTCTGTGAAACGCTTTGAAACGTTTCAACGACGTGACGAGGCGCTATATCAAATGCAAGGATTGTTATTATTACTATAAAGAATGCTTTAAAATTGCAAGACTTCTACTTTTTACCTTGTAACAATAGCTTCTGTAATTCTTCCTTCAAGTCATCTTTTGATAACTCCTTGTCTACCGATGCCTCTGTACTCTGCTAAAATGTCGGGAAACAGAGGAAAGAATTGGTAAACGTTGAGACATTTAAGAGCACGTTTTAATACACATTCAGGAAGCTCCTTCCTTTACAAAAACCCACCTCAGCATTCCGGATATAATCCTCGATTGCCGCTTCCATGTTTTGGAGCTCGCTGCGCGCCTCTTTTACGTCTTTGTTCATTTCATCTCGGAGCGTCTCAAGATCTTGTTCATCGCAAAGTACTGAAAATGAAGTGTAAAAAAAAAAGTTTAATCAGAATTGCAAGGAATTAGGCAAATGTCTAAAACACTGGTGGGGCCAAGAACTAAAAGTGGTATTGATTTTTTTTTCTTGCAGATTGACTGGGATGAATGAGTTACAAGTATTTTAAGGGGTGGAAATAATTTCCCCTCACATCTACGAACACCACCCCCCCCCCCCCCCCAAATGATGACTAACGCTGTAAAACATTCTGTCCATTTGATAAATCGTGACTTGTGTTAAATTGTTGATTGCAATAACCAATATGCAACTCACTTCCTTCCTGGCCTCACATTTCGAAGCATAGAAGCAGATACATTATTTTTTCAGCCCATTTGGCCCATCATGCCTGTGCCATTTCCATCTCATTTGCTGAATCGCCTCCGTGTTTAAAAAGAAAATTATTTTAATCAAAATTTAACAAATTCATGTTTCGGGGAGGGGCGGTGGGGGGGGGATTGGCACACGGCAATATCCCACCAACAGTCATGAAGTGAGTGATCGATTTTATCTGAGGGGATTGTTGTCCAGGAAACCAGGAGAATCTCCCATCTCTTTTCAAAAAGTCCCATGGGTTCCTGAATGTCTATCTGAACAGATCTTAATTTACCATCTTAACCAAAGATCCAACGATGCAGCATTTTGGGCATTGGAGTGTCAGCCTTGTCACTGCTCAAATTACCAACTTGGGGCTTGAACCCACAACCTTCTGATTCAGAACAAGAGTGTGACCGACTTAAAGCCTGGCCTAGTGACTATTTATTGTTCATGAGTCAAGGGCAGGAAGGGCGTCACAGTCAAGGTTGACACTCCAATGCACAAAGTGTTGCATTTTTGGATATGTTATCCTTTGGTTACGATGTTAAACTGAGAGTGACTGAGTGTGGCACAGTCCGATCTAGAAGGGCAGATGACAATTTAACATCTCTTCAGTTTAACCATCGGGGTCTCTCGCGATAACATGGGAAGCTTGGAATTGAATAACAATCTTGTAAACTTCCCCAGGTATATGGAAGGGGTGGGCGGGGGGGGATGAGTTGAACAGATCAATGCCCAGATGCTCCAGTTAGTGTGGGAAACAGCCTTTGCTGAAAATGTTGGTAAACATGTTGAGTGGAAAAAAATAAGTTAGTGAACGACCGAGCTGAAAGGGGTCTCAATGATATGCTTAACCACTCAAGACCTAACAGGGCCAAAATATAAAGTTGGCTGGCACTGTTTTTTTGAGAAGACTACAAAGCTGTTAAAAGAAACCATTTACTTACCAGAACTCAACAAAAGTGACAAAATGATTTGTAGTAACATGCTTTCTTTTCTGTTTGTGCTTTATGACTTAACATGCATTTATAGTTCAGAGTGCAAAAGACCAGTGTTGTGTAATGGTGCTCCTGCTTTCAGTCATGCTGCTTTGTGTTGGTTACTGTTTCTAAGTGGATCAATATGGAGTATTATGATCTTAACCGGGTAGATTATTGCATCACAGAACAGAGATGGAGCTGTGCTCACCTGTCAGACTACCAATGCCCGATGGGACGGGGTATGAAAGCTATCGTTAAACACTACAGAGCTCACAGTCCAGTGCATTGCTGGGGTGGGGGTTGGGGGGGGGCATTGCATTGTTGGAGGTGCCGTCCTTTTGACGAGACATTACACCGAAGTCCTGCCTGCGCCGATTTAGAGGGACTTTAAACGATCCCATGGCGCTATTCGAAAAGGGAAGTGAGTTTACGCCCGGAGTCCCAGTCAACAATTGCCCCCCCACCCATAAAATTGGTCGTTCACTTCAATGCCTGTTGGTGGGGCATTGCTCTGTCCGAATGGTTTCAAAATGCACAGTCACAACACTTCACACTACAGCATATCCTGCGAAGCACTTTGAGGCACCTTCCTGACGTGAAAGGCGCTCCATCCCATTTAAGCGTTATATTTTTTCATCCGCATTAAAGAGATGTAGCAAGACATCACCCCAACACGGGAACAGAGACACCTGCGTAAGAATTAAGAGCGTCTGCAAAAGCGGAAGAGTATCAATGGCAAGAGCTGGGCTCAGGGAATGGTTCCGTTTGTCAGAAAAAAAGTCCTTTTGTTTTGTCTTCCACCAATTTCCCTGTTTTAAGAGTCAATATCCTAGTTTAATTCAATCTCTCTCTCTGCACGCCAGAAATGGATGCTCAGGAATAAAGAATGGAAGAGTGGAAATATAAATCGAGGCAATGAGAGAGCAGGGGCCCCTCTCACAGTATTCCACAGGGGACATGAGCATTGGTTCACTTATCTTAATGGCAAAAGGCCTCAAACAGGGTGCGATGTACAAAGCAGGTGTCATGTCAAGTGTTCTGTTCTGTTCAGACTATGGCTCTTAGTAAATTCATGCGTGGATAATAATAATAATAATAATAATCCTTGCATTTGATATAACGCCTATCACGTCTTCGAGACGTCTCAAAGCACTTCACACAAGTAGTGAATTGACTGTATATTTTGTGGGCAAAATGACAGCTAAGTGTCTCTGTATAGGCCCTGTAAATAATCTGGAAAATTGATAACACATTAAATGGAACCCAAAGAAGATAGTACTAATAAGAATTATTATTATTATTATTGGGGGAATTCCTAAATCAATAATAATAATAATAATCCTATCATTTGATACAACTCCTTTACACATCAGGAGAACATCTTAAAGCGCTTCACAGGATTTACTGCAAAGTGTAGGGACTGTTTTGTAGGCTAACGTGGCAGACAATTTCTGTGCACCGACGTCCCCACTGACAGCCACAAAGTGGTAAGAGAGAACGGTGGAATTTATACCTGGGGAAAGTATTGGCCAGGACGTATTTTCCTGTGTTGCCTCAATACCCAGATTTCTTTGCGCCTGAAAGTCTTTCCTTTCTTGACCTTTGTTTTCTCTCTCTCTCTCTCTCTCTCTCTCTCTCTCCCTATTGAGCAGGTTACGCAGGAGTTCATACCTTACTGCTGTTTTCGTCGTTTTTTTCGGTAATTTGATTAGGATTGTAAGTTAGTTTTGGACGCACTCAGCCTGGCCTCCTTCCTCATTCACATCTTCACAGCCCTCCGACAGGAATTTCACTTTGCCGGGCCTCATGACTCACATCCACTCAGCTTTATAGCTTTAACTCATAAACCTTCGGACTCCAATGTGTGTAGTGTAGCCACACGACCCAAACCCCCGCCTTGCTCTCTTTTCCCCACCTCACACACAAGCCCATGTTGTGCTTCTCTCAGTTTTCCTTAACTCAGAATCCCCTTCAGCCACTTGATTTGAAACACGAATTGTTGCAACCTCTTAACATACACCTCATATTCCCTGGCAAACTGCCCTGAAACCCCCTCGAAACCCAAGCCTTCTATCAATCCGATTCTCCAACTAAAATATACCTCAAAGGTCTCGTACATAAGATTTCTAAAGGGATTCCAAGTCACAGAAACTATTTCTTCAAATCACCTGGGGGGGTGGAGAGAGGGGTTGGGGTGATATCTCCTGCCAACCCAACTCCCCTCCAGTGTGACCTACTTCTAGATTGACTTTACCAATTGGGATAGGGCCGAGTGCTCTGTGTTAAGGAAACATGTTTGGTAAACCTGATTTACTGGAGCAAATCTGCAGTATAATGTGATGTGGCAATTGTCACCGGTGATAATTATCACACACATCGTACCGTAAACTCTACTCCCAGCCCCCACTTCCCCCCCACTACCTTCCATCTCAAATGCTGCAATAGCCTTCAGCATTAAACCCATATTGCTTCAATCACCCTCACACGCAAGAGAATGGATTTTATAACAACAGGATCCAGTTCCAGAGAGAAAGTGTGTGTGTGTGTGTGTTTGTGCAGAGGTAGAATAACTAAAATCTCCACCATTGCGTTGTGGATCAGGGGGAACGTGGATCAGGCTGACATTAACAATTTCCTTCAAGATGCGTTGTCTTAATGAAGTGGCCCGCGCTTTCAATAGAGGGAGGGAAAAATCACATTAAACAGAGATGTCAGCATGCCTAAAGCTGATGAAGTCATGAGTAGCTACACATCATTGCTGCCGCATACCATTAAAAGAATAATTAAGGCCTAGAAAAGAACAGACCTCATAGCTGTTGGCAGTGTGTAATATACCCTTTTAGCTCTTCCCCCGTGTCATGTTTTTTTNGGAGCTCCGCAACTGAATTCAAGTTCTAATGGGCAAATCAATCTGAAATGTTGAAGCCCACAGACATGTTCCTTCTATTTATTTCTTTCTCCCACTTTCACAGCAGTCAGTTCCTCAATGTGATGGCCTCTTGTTCAACCCTTTAGGTAAGCATGCTCGCAAAAAAATACATCGGGCTTCCATTGCAAGCAAAGAAATAGGTACATTCCTGATGACACCAATTTTTCTGGCCATCTGCAACACTGCTGTCTGTGGGTCTTAGCTGTGCTAACCCGCCTGTCAGGCAGTCGACAACGTAAAACCCAACCACTACGCTTGAACCGGGTTCCTACTTACTGCTAGACAAACAGAGGTGTGCGTGTGTGTGGACTAAGGAAACTTGCCTAAGCTTTCGCCCTATCCAGGATTTGAACTCAGGGCCTCTCGTTTGCGAGGCGAGTGCTCTAATCAATATGGACTCCACTTTATACCAAGGAACACGGGTGTGGGATTCTGATTTTGAAATCTGAAATACATCATTCCGGCCCATGGGAACTCTGAAAGTAGATCATGTTGGAGCAGTATTCCTGTGACTCGGTGTAACGTACTCCTGGTTTCCTTATTAAGGGATCCCGGGAGAAATCATCGCATATCCGCACCGCTATCTAATCCGTTAATCCTCGCAGTGAGACAAGCGGCGCAGCGGAAGAGCTTTTTAAATAGGGAAAGTCTCTTATAGCGTCTCAGTGTTTTACTTGAAATGGAGGATGGATATTTGTTTTGGTACAATGCGTTTTCTCCCAGGTCTGCTCGAGAGGGCAGCCAGGTTAATAGTACCTGTCAAAATAGGCTGAACCCCATCGGAATGAAAGTGAGCTTGCCACTTGGAACGGTTTTCGGAACGGTTAGCTACGTGTCATTACACTGTACAAATGTAAAAAGTACCTGCCAATTGCGTTCATCTGCGGATGAGAATTATCCCTACTCCGAGCTAATCATAGTCCACTTCAGTCCGAGGAGAGCGCTGCATTTCTGGAGGTGCCATCAGCTGTTCAGGCAGCAGTCAAAGACCCCACATCACTATTCCAATAGAGAAGGAAATTCACTTCATATATAGAGAGAGTTAAAGAAAGTCAAGCAACAAGGTTCTGGTCACCAATCGCTCAAATAAAATTGGCTGTCATCTTTCTGGTGTTTAGATTGTCTGGGAGATTGGCAGCCAGGGATGAACACCGGGCAAATAGTGCCGTGGGATCTTTAGCGTCCAACTGAAGAGGACCTGAGATTGACCTGAGTCCATCTGAAGGACGGCACCTCCGACAATGCAATGCACCCTTGGAGTGTCAGTCTGGAACTGCTAACTCAATCTCACCGTACAGGTCTTGACACCACAGGCTTCTAACTCCAGATAAAAATTGGCAAGATTGCTATCCTCTGAGCCAGGCTGATGCTTTTTGTGCAATATTTATGCGTTACTTGGTAACTAAGGGTTAATTGCTGAAATTTGACTAGAGCGTCACAAGTGTTCAGTTGCCGATGCTCTATTTGGGTATTTCGATTGTTTTTATACAGGGCCGTGGCTAATATTTCATAAGAAAGCATTAACTCTGGACATGATTTCCAAATATTTTTTTTTCCAATGGCTCAGTGTTAGTTTATTTTTATTTGACACAGGTGTTGAAACCTAATTCCCCTGTAAACGAATTGAGATCCAAAAAACAGCCTGTTCCAATCTCCAAGTTTAGGAAACTTCCAATGATTTCAAGTTTGGCTTTCCAAACCTATTGCTAAGAAAAGTCCCCCCACCCAATGTGCCGCAGTTAAACATTTGGATGACGCCATTAGCAGTCCAAGGAGTTAGATAGTGGCAATAATAATAATAATAAACCTCGCATTTGAGATAGCGCTTTGCAGAGTATACTGTAAAGTGAATTAACTGTATATTTTATGGGCGAAACGCAGCAACCAACTGCGCACAGCAGCGTCCCCACAAACAGTCGTGGATCGAATGATCATTTTTTTTTAAAGAGATTATTTCCCCCGAAAAACAGTCCACCAATCGACTAACAACCGGCTTCCTACTTGCTGCCAGGTAAACAGGGGCGTGTGGACTGTACTTGCATATTTCACCTATTTTGTTTGCCCACAAAGTGAGTCACTAAGTTTCAAAGTAACTTATCGGCAATGGTATTGTACGGTTCTTATGGTATTACAGTATCATCATTGAAGTTTCACTCTGCGAAAGTTCACTATAAATGCTTTACACTGTGAAAAAATGGTTTAAGAATTCATGTGTGCTCTTCACCGATCCTGAGTGACTCACTTCCATCCTGTCAACTATAATTTATCAGGTGAACTGATTTCTTTGACGTCTGACTGTCTCTGCTTAACCATTGTAGATTTAATTTAATTCATTTCTCCCATTATTCTTTCAAAGACCATCTCCAGGGAGTCCCGTCAACATTGAACGGAGGAACTTTGAAAGGAGCACTTTAATGTTATTAAAAATGTTGATTGCCAAAACGCACGTGCTCAGACCAATAATGCTGGGCGTTTGTTACTTTTTCCTCGGTCCAGCTGGAGGAGTGTGTCAGGCTGGCTTGCTTGGTAGCCAGTATAAGCCTCGTGTCAAGACTTTGGACACACATAGTCAAAGCTGAAACTCTAATGCAGTGCTGAGAGGAGCATTACATTGTCAGAGGTGCCGTCCTTCAGACTTGATGCTAAACCGAGGCCGTGTCTGTGCCTTTTCAGGTGAACGTTAGAGACGCCTTGGCACTATTGGAAAAAAGAAGGGAGTTTTTCCCAATGTCCTGACCGATAATCCCCCGTGTAAAACTGATCATTCCCTTCATGGGTGTCTGTGGCACATTATTACAGTAAATCCTGCTGAGCGCTTTGAGATGTGAAAGGCGCTTGAATTAAACGCAAGGATTTTAATTTGATCCTAATTTTCCCCCACTCCACATTGCTGTATAGTTGGTGTTTACCAGCAGTTTCCTAAACTGCTTGAACTTCAATTTCACAATTGCACGTGCTCGACGGAACCCAACTGTGTTACAGTTCAGCACAGTGCTCGCTCTTTGTTTTAAAGACATTGTTGATTTCCTTTTGGATTTGAAAAGATTAAAAACTTGTGTTAAAAAATACTTTTAATCCAATAAACATTTTGATTGTCTACAAAGTGTTATTTCGAACCATGTGTCTGACACATGCACGTGTGTGGATATACACACACATATATATTATATATATAAAACTGAAAGGATCAAACTTACTGAAAAGTGCCTGTCACATCACATCAGTGAGAGTGCCTGGAGTGAGCTTAGCTGGTGAAGACGGGTCCGTTACCTTATTCCTACATTGGAGGTTCTGCTCACATCACATCACATCTTTTCAAAATCTCTGTTCTGTTGTCTATCTCCCTGAGCTGGAGCTGAAAAATTAAAGTGCTTGGAGGCCGTACACTTCTTTCTCACCGACTAAAAAGGCACTTGGGACCGCGTTGAAGCTGCCAGTAATGACATCACTCGCAAACTTCAAGACCCATGTCGTTCGGATCATGTGGGCTCTGAGCTGGGTTCGAAGCTGGCTGTGGCAAAGTCAAGTCGCAGTGACGAGCACTAAATTTATTAATTTGCAGCGAGCGTGAGCACAGCCATGCGAGAGCCAAAGTAGATCAAAAGTCCTTGACCAAATGTACAATTCGGAAAGTCCAAGCAATGTACCGCATCATCTTCACGATCATGTGTCAGCCTGGCTCAGTTGCCAGCCTCCGAGTCAGAAGGTTGTGGGTTCAAGCCCCACGTCGGGACTTGGAAGCCGTAAAGTCTATGCTGACACTCCAACGCAGTGCTGGGGGTACACTGCATTGTCAGGAGCCGCTGTCCATCGGAGGAGATGTTAAACCAAGTTTCGGTCTGCCTGTCCAAGATCACATAGGATTATTTGAAAGGAGGAGGGATTTCTCTCTCCCGGTGCCCTGGCCAAATCG